GATTGGGTTGACATTAAAATTAATTGGAAAATGGTTGGACACAGAGTAATATGGAAATTAAACTGAAATTGAGAACTGAAAATAAATGAGTTATCTATTTAGATATATCTAAACGATGATAAGAAACTCATTACGTACTGGTTTAAAAGGTGAGAGAGTGTTGGATGAAAAGTGGGATGATAATATTTTTAATGAAATTAGAATAAGAAGGATTAAATGGCAGAGAGAGGGATAAGATATGAGTTATATACATAATGCAGGTAAAATACATTTGATAAGGGTATATAAAATGGAAAAGAATATACTGGTGGGGTTGAAATAAACTTAAAGGTTATGGTTAGGATAGATAGATAGAGGTGGAGAGGAGAATGATTTCAATTGGATAAGGAGTCGGAAGAGAATGATTTCAAGAGATAAATCCAAGTATAATAGCTGGAAACTCAATAGAAACCAATCAAAACAAATTCCAGTATTTCCAAACAATTATTTGATTGGTTGACAAATATGCCATGTCATACATTCTCAAAGTTTGAAAATAGGTAAATAGATTGATTGATAACCTTGAATGATGTGATAGTATGAAATAAGTATGTTTATACAAAACATATAGAAAAATGGTTCGAAAAAGGAAAATTTACGTTGAAATGGTTGCTCTCCCCTCTTTCGTGTTTATTTGTCCCTGTAATTGTTAAGATCTGAGGAGTCCCCTCTGTGCGGACCATGAAAAATCTGCAATTTAGTTCGGAGTGATTACAGTGTACAGTTTGATCTCCGGAGACGGATGGTTTTGCCGCGTCTTGCTGTGTGCGAATGAACACAAATTTGCCGCGTTATTCGCTCAATTAATGTTTGTTAAGCTAAATGGTTTGTGTAAACATAAATTTAAGTCCGTGGATTTAGTGGATGCGTCTATGATGGATGATAACTACTTTAGGAAACCTTCATGGTTTCAAATAACAAATTTTAGATTGCTTAATAATATAATATTTAGTCTGGATATCAATGTCAAATATAGTCTTGTGTAAAGCGGTATGAGACTTTACTACAGTTTATCAGATCTTATTAATGTTCCGAGGATTTTTGTCCACGATGCTTTAGTATTTGACAGTATAAATTGTAAGATATCAGTTGCAGGGGCGTAGTGGAGGTTTAGCCTAGGGGGGGGGGGTGTACTTTTTTGTGCAACTCCCTAACGGTTGATGTGCACCCCCCTTCTAAAACCTGTACTAGGAAAAAAAATTAAAGCTTAAACTCTATATTAATCTACCCTGACCATAATTACCAATCATACCATTATAAAATCTAGTATTAAAAGAGCAAAAAAACTTTGATTTGAGGTAAAAAAAAACAGTGCTAAATAATATACCAAATTATTATAATATTGATGACTTGTTCTTGTGTTTACAAAAAAACTTCAACCCGCTTTAAAATGCATACTGTTAACAGGTTGGTAAACCCTAACCTGGTTCTGGATGAGTTATTTATTGAGACATGTGCGCGAAGCGGCAAAAAAATTCTGTTCTTTTAGCGTCTTTTCATGTATTTCTAAGTGTCTTTAAGTCCCTAGCTCAGCCATATTCACTATGTATATATAAAGTCCCCTATTACAGTCTACAGCAGTTTTATGAAATTCGTTTTCTAGTCATATTTGTCCACTATATAGTCCCTTAACCGTAGGTCTGTGCAGTCCTTTTTATTTCCTGGCAGAACTCGACTTTATTTTGCCTGTCCATAATCCATAATAGTCTTTCTGATCGTTGTCCCCCTGTTATTGTTTGCCAGTAAGGGCTTATCCCTGTTTTCTTCTTATAGTCTTCAAAAGTCCTGATAGTCCAATATAATCCTTATTATATTTCATATTGTTATTCTTCTTAGATTGTCAGGTTTTGTGTAACCTTAAATGGTATATCTATTAAAATACTCATGAGAAGTAACATATTTACAGTTTTTTTAGAGGATAAATTAAGACCGACTTTCTTTAAGTCAAAAACGAGAAAATAGTTAGAAATTCTTTTAGAAATGATGCACGAAGCGCCAAAGAAAAATTTTGGTATTTTTTCTTAATTGACAAAATTTGATAAAAGATGATTCACAATCATGCTCATGCTGGAGCCAAGTAAGAGTGGGGGGGGGCGAGAGGGGGTTGAAACATGCTAAGGGGGGTCGAAACTCGGTTGGCCCCCCCCCCCTATTTGTGCCACTGTAGATTACACTGGAGACAGTATTATTTAAAGCTTAATAAAACTCTGCGTCAATCATCTTGCTCTGAGAGACTGAATTTGGTTTTAAATGAAACCCCGCGAAAAAAATATTGTAAATAAGATTAAGGTACAAGAAAGTATTTGAAAAATAATCATAAAATGGACAAATTGTGACATTGTCGATTGATAAAGAAAAGTAAAAAATTTGAATATATATGTAAGTTTGATAAATTAGAGCCTGCCTCTGGCTCTAGGGGGGCGTAGGGGGTGCATGTTTAGGGGGTGAACAGGGGTACCGCCCCCCCCACTACGCCCCTGATCAGTTGAAGTTAGTGTCAATATAAAACCATTAACTTTATACACAACACTATAGTACTAGATATTACCACCGTTCAACCAAAATTGAGATGGAATGTGTAAATATTAACAGCGATAGTCTACACAGACCATATTATGTTTTATGTTTACTTTTTAAGAAAAAGAAGTTTCAAAGTTGTTTAATATCATTTTAAATTTCTAGATTTACAATTCATCAAAAGATTAAAACTAGTTGTGAGTGCATAAAAACTGTTGTACAAGTTGAATACAATTGATTATATGTATTGTAAATATATCAATATAATTTACGATTTAAAAGTTATCTGCTCACGTAGTCGTATAATGACGTACCATCACTAGTTGTGGAAAGAATCAAATATATAAAAAAGTTTTTTTTAAATCTCTATCAAACGTGAATATGAAACATTATCAATTTGAATTGACGTGGTTGTGCGTCCCTTCCACATTATCCTGAGGACCACTGTAGACAGATAGAAAGTGTGTCTAAAGCTTAAATATTGAAGAAATATAGTGAAAAAACTAGGCAACTGCTTGACTAATCACCTAGGCAGTCCACTGTCAGCTAGAAATATCCTCACTTAACCCTTTATCTTGGTTTACAAGGGTAATACGACCAATTCATGTTTATGGCCAGGCTCGCGTGCCTGGCTGGACCTGGCTCGGCTTTACTGCACCTTTTACTGCCTTCATGTCACATTTAGGCCACACGCAGCCATACCTCACTTCTCCAGGCTTATTACTGCCTGAATACAGGCTATTTATACAAGCACAATAAATATTATACTTATATTCATGCATATTTGTACAACTGGTTCATGTCACTTATTACATACAGTTGTCCCGAAAAAGTTTTCAAAGTCGCTGCAACTTTGATAGATAACACCATTTAATGCTGAAATATTAAAACTTAATGGGATTACAAAAGTAGATTTTCAGTGACCTTATCTATAAAATCAGTGCCATCATTAATTCGCAACAGTCTTTTAGAAACTTTATTTAAAGGGAGTGTTCGCGAAAAATGAAAGGGGGTATAGGCTTAATGCGATAAAAAAGCGCTTTTGATCGCCACTAATCTTACTTCTATCTATTGCGTCTATAAGGAGAAAATTGTTAAAGACGTCTCATACCGAAGAGCGTAGCGCCCATACAAATTGAGGAAGTTGGAACATACGACTTAGACCGTAAAAAAATCAAATTAATATCAAACAAATCATTCAGATATTACAACCTGTAGTCATCGATTATCTTTCGCCACATTTGTATATAGTTTATTTTTCATAATATGTTTTAATTGTTATGATCTGAGAGTTACTTATACAAACGTTTATTCCTGTTTCGAGGATTGTTGGTAATGAAGACGACATTTTCATATTTTCCAGGAATGTTCGAAAACAAGTTGTAAGCTAAATATTATTTTAAAAACCAAAATCAAAACTAGTATGAAATATTAAATATATACAAATGTGGCGAAAGATAATCGATGACTATAGGTTGTAATATCTGAATGATTTGTTTGATATTAATTTGATTTTTTTACGGTCTAAGTCGTATGTTCCAACTTCCTCAATTTGTATGGGCGCTACGCTCTTCGGTATGAGACGTCTTTAACAATTTTCTCCTTATAGACGCAACAGATAGAAGTAAGATCAGTAGCGATCAAAAGCGCTTTTTTATCGCATTAAGCCTATACCCTCTTTCATTTTTCGCGAACACTCCCTTTAAATATCAAAAGTTAAACTGGTTGTGATTGTGGGTACGTTGCACAAAGATTGTTCTCAACAAATTCTTGACTTTAGTTTAGGCTATAATTTGTATCATTTTATCAACAATTCAATTAACAAATATGAAACGATCCATCGAAATAGACAAAGGAAAAATTGTCCATTTCTTTTTCTTCTGGCAGTACAAACAATAAGAACAATTATATCCATTTGTATTATTATAACTATTTTACTAAATGAATTTTTAAGTTAAGTAATTTCATCTTTAAACCAAAAGCTCCTAAAACTTTATTGTTTTAAAAACAATCCTCCAAGTTTTATTCTTGGAAAGAAAATCCATTTCTTTTTGAAATTTAGACCGTCGTTGGATTTTTTTAAACAAAAATTTTTATTGAAAGGGTAAAAAAAAGGTTTATTAAATATTTTTTAAACTGTGGAATAAAATAAGTTAAAAGTTTGATTGACGACCTCACCGTTTACAATTGAAATTTTGACAGCAAGACAGAAAATTGATTCAAAGCTTGAGAATTGATATAAAAAGCCAAACAGTCGTCCAGAGCTGGAATGGATCCTATTGGTCGGAACTTAAACCCCCGTCTCTGATTGGTTAAAGGCTCCAGATCAATCAAAGTATTATAAACGACAGTGTCCTATTTCTATGCACAAAAAGTGGATTATAGGGGGGAACATTCTTTACAATATACAACACCAACACGAACATATAATTGAAAAAGAACAATTTCGAATAATAATTTATTTCTAAAGATTCTTATAACAAATAACATACAATCTAGCTTCACAGCCACTTATGACAAAACTACGTCTAATTTATTATGATAATTTGACACCAACATGATATGACAGGATAGTTGAGTGAGGGGTAGGAGGTATATATATATCACTATCTTGAGAGCTGGGGGAAAGAGGTAGGAGGGGAAACAGGGCGTTCCTCACTGAGAGGAGAATGAGGGGCGGGGGAATCTCCTGAACGAGGAATGATGTAAGGAGAAAACCTGTGAGGTTTTGGAGAAGGTAGATCAGGAGATCTTGGTGAAGAAAGGGAAGAGTTAAGAGAAGATGGAATAGACGTAGGAGTTGAGTTTCTAATAGCCGCTGCTAGAAAGGCAGGGTTGTACAGGCCTAGGCTGGCTTGAATAGCACTATATCGAGCCAGTAACTCTTGGGAGAGAGGAAGATGATAGGATAGGTTGCTGGAGGAGCTGGTTGGGGGTAGGATGGATCTGGAGTTTGGATACATCATCATTAACCTCGCCTTCTCAGCAGCCATGATCAGGTTGTTGTTTGACTCTGTGTGGTTCTGATAATGAAGTCTTGAGAAGGGATCCATACCTGGCATACCTCCAGGTAGGTGGGTTCCTGAGAAAGGATTTCCAGGGGGATAAGAGTGATCATCAAAATCGGAACCTGCAGAGTCTCTGAATCCTTTAGCGAAAGGATTGGATTCAATCTTGAGTTTGGTGATGCATTGGTTCTGGTAAGCTGTGACTGCTGTAAACTGTGTTTCAGGAAAGACGAAAGTTCTGTACTTCTCTCTTTCAATATCTGTAACTGGACCATTTTGACCGTCTTTTCTTTTGACAAGATAAACCCTTGGTTGGAACTTATGCATAGAATTCAGGATAATCTGACCTGAATTATCCGACTCATTGTTAGTTATCTTGACTTTTTCAAACCCAATGACTTGTTTCTTAAGTTGGTCCATGGAGAAAGGACCATCTGGATGTGGGTGAAGACGGTGGGGAGGAGGTGGGTCAGCTTTACCTGCCACCAACCAAGCTGATCTATGGTATGCATATCTATACCTCTTGTTGTCACAAGGAACTATATCCAGGAGAACCAAGTATTTAGTACCAGGTTCAGTCTCAAGGTTGGAGAAGCTAACCCTCACTGTAGGGAACATTCTCCGTCCTGTTCTTGTAATAATCATCTCTGTTCCAAACTCACAGAACTTGTCCCATAGCTCCTTGTTGTCCAGGGTACACTTGACTCCGTCTAGTTCAGAGCAGTTTGATGTCTCAATAATTCTACTTTTTCTTTCCTTTTTGGGCGTGATTCTATCTTCAATACTGGTTTCTGGTGACAAATCCTCCGGTTCTTTTTTGATACCAAGAGATTCTGGAATCTGTTTGTTTTCTAATCCGGACATGATTGCAGCTATACTGAAGTTTGTTGGTTTGGTTAAGGTTCCGATTGGTTCCATATCTGTGTGTATGGGTGGCATTGGCCTAAGTATTAATTGTATGTATGGTACTACCCTGTAAGGACGGGTGCCGAGATCTGACTGAAAATATATCTGGTGTGGGGTGCGGACAGGAGCAGGTTCAGATGCCGCGACAGTTTGCTCCAATAGGAGCGGTGGGAGCAGATTGGACCAGATCTAGATCTCGGGACCAATAGGAGGGAGTGCGGCACCCTGGTATTTCTATTTGCGGGGGAGTCGTGTCAACAGTTGCTGATTCTCAATATATATTCAAATCTCCGGGTGTTCTCAAACTATCCAACATTTTAAATGATCTCACAAAAATTCCGTAATTGCTTTTCAGTTGAAATATGAAATCTTCTTTTTTCCCACAAACCCTTCAAGCTAGAGATAAATTTAAATGAAGTTTAAAAAATATATTTTATTTCAAGGCCTGTCTCTTCAATACAGGAGAGGGGGGAATCTAGATTGGATAGAAAGATTGGAATAAGAAAGTTAGATGCCGAAAACTATTGATTATAGAAAGTAAATATCATTTCCAAAAAAATTGATTATACATATATCCTTAAATTTTTTATGAATTGAAAAATAGAAACTAAGAGTTTAAAATGTTGCTGTTTTGAAGTAATTTTAAAGTTCCTCGTCATGTATTGTTTGTAGAGGATAGATAGATATAAAGCTAGTGAACTAAGTTGGTGGTTAACACCACCATTTATTAAGAATTAGAGGGTTTATCTCCCTACAAAGAAAACACTTGCTTGTGAGGAGATGAGATAAAAAGTGGATAAACCAAACCAGAGAATTTTAACAAGTACACATAATTATAATGATGATTTTAAAGACTTAAAAGAAATTGAGTCTTTGCAACAAACGCAAATTTTCTAATTCCTTTATCTTTACAATTTAATAGAGTACATTAATTGATATTTTAAACTTAGATTATTTAATATAACAGCTTTCATAGTTTGAAATATCAAAGGTCTACGTCATTGGGTTGTAAAGATATAGGGATTAGAATATCAGAGTTTGTGGCAAAGACTCAATTCCTTTATTGAAAATGTTTGTTTTGAACCTATTGAGACAGATAGAATGAACGCTTTGGGCAGATCGATAAAAATAGAATTTTGATGTATGATAGATACCAGATATCGGAGTTTCGAGAAACCAATCTTTATATCAAGAATTCTTCACGGTTTCTCTTAGTTCGACCAATATTATCCAGACAGCGCTAGAGATGAATACACAGATATGAAATACGATTGAACATTCATTTTTCTGAACAGGGTTCATCGTTTGAACGAGGTTTCTATTTATTGAATTCTAAATAAACATGCTGTTAATCAATATTAAGAGTTAGGTTATAAGTTGTGTTGAATTAACAACGTAGCTAGGATAGCTAAGGGTCCGAGCGCTACTACCAAGAATCGTAAAAAATGTAAAAGGGTAAGGGACAAGGCCAAAGTCTTTGGTAATATCTTATTAGGCCCCCCTTGCCCCTCATTCTGAAAGGTTGACGGGGGGGGGGGGGTCTGTACCGATGAAGTCAAGGAAAAGAAGACGAGGAAAGGAGCCGAGGAAAGTGAGGAAAGGTTCCGATGAGCGGCTGTTAAGAGAAATCAGGTGGATTTGGTTTTAATCCTGTGTTGCAACTAGAGGGTTTGGGGACACACTTGATCTCAACTCCACCTCCCCCTGGTCCTATCTCTGGTATAGGACCAGGTGCAGTTGAACAAAAAAATGTTAAATTTCAAAACAAAAAAATTAGAAAACCAAAAAATTGTCAATTTTACATTTTAAAAATGTTCTTTTAAAAACTAAAAATGTTCATACAGGGGATAAAGATTGTACTAAATGAATAATCCAGGTGGTTACAGTTTCTCCCCCCCCCCCGGAGGGTACACTTGACTCCGTCTAGTTCAGAGCAGTTTGATGTCTCAATAATTCTACTTTTTCTTTCCTTTTTGGGCGTGATTCTATCTTCAATACTAGGTTGATATGTGTCGGTGTCTGGCTACTGCAGTCCTATCAATGAGATGATTAGGGAATTATCCAATAATTAAGGTGGCGACATTGTAAGTGAATTATAAAGACTCCGAAAAAAGTGGGCGGAGCTGGGGATAGGGAGGAGTAGAGATACGTGGTTACAGCATGTGCATAAGACGGGTGCGGGCTGTCCTGAATCAAAAATCTTTGTTTGTCTCTAACATTTGACCACGGAAAAGTTTAAAGAAACCGATTAAAATGAGAAACAAATTTTGCCATAACGTACATCTCCAGCAATTTAAATCATTCAATCTTTAGTTTTCATTTTAATCTCTCTCCAACTATTGGCCATAACTATACCTTAAATAATTAAAGGAACTGAACACTTGCCTCAAACTTTAGGTTTTTTAATCTTTGCAACATGATTTCGTAGACCTTTCAAACTATGAATTCTAATAAATCTACATGACTAACGTTTGAAATATAATATGCTTACACCCTCAAGTTACTAAGATAAAGGGATGCAAAAAATTATAGGAATTTGTGGCAAAGGGTTCAGTTTCATTATTTGTTGCAGACGTGTGTTCAGCTTAGAAAACAAAGTGATCACAAAACTTTTAGATTATATATAAGAAGACAAAAACCAAATTTGGACTAACTTAAAAAATCTTAATTTTAATAAGTTTATAAAAGTACATATTTTAAAAGAAAATGGAAACTCTACTTATATTCATTATAAATCCCCTTTGCATAAGTGCTATAGTTTAGAATTATTTATGTTAGAGGATCGATTTTTCTCGCTATCAAGTTTAGGAGTAATTGACATTGATATTTAGAAACTAAAGACAAATGTATACCCGGAAGAAAAAGAAGAAAGGTACGGGCATATAAAAGAATGGAGAATAGAGATCAAATCAATAAGGGGGAACTATAAAACTGATTAAGGAAAGAAGATTTGAGTTGATTATGGGAGAAGATAAGAGATGACAGGGGAGAAGATAAGAGATGACAGGGGAGAAGATTAAAGCTATTGAAGAGGAAGGGTAAGAACTAATGAGAGGAAGAAAATAAGACCTGATATGGGAGAATTAAGGTAAGAGCTATGAGAAGAAGATGAGAGCTGATTAGGAGTAGATGATAAGAACTGATGAAGGGAGATGATAAAGATGATAAGAGATGATAACGCAGAAAATATAAGAATTGATGAGGGAGAGAAAAGAAGAACTGATGAGGGGAGAAGTTAAGAGCTATTGAGAAGAGAAGATAAGTGCTAATGCGGTGGAGAAGGGGAGAGCTGGTATGAGGATATGTTAAGAGCTGATGATAGAAGAAGGTTAGAGCTGATGAATGGGAGAAGGTCAATGGTGATGAGGGAACGAAGGAAAGATCTTTTGAGGGGGAGAATAAAAGAGCTGATGAGGGGAGCTGAAGATAAGTATTGATAAGGGGGAGAAGATAAAAATTTACGAGGGGAAGGAGGTAATAGCTGATAAACAGGGGAAGGTCAAAGGCGATGAGGGAAAGAAGAAAAGATTTGTTTGGGGGGGGGGGGGATTTAAGCTGATGAATAAAGGAGGTAAGAGCTGATAGAAATGAAAATCTCATTATTTCCTTTAAAACTGAAAATATCAAATATTTAACAATTTCGCCCTGCATAATGACAGATGAAGGGTATGGAACACAGCGATAGAGCTGATAAAAAAGGATGAGAAGTTAAAACTGATGGGAGGGACGGATACAAATTTAAAGGAAATAGTCAGAGGTAGCTGAATTGGTGTAGACGATATGAGCTTGTGTGTTAATACTAAAGTTGTGTATGGTATGAATGTATCACTGTATGAGTGACATAAGTTTAACATTTCTGACATATTTGCATATCTCAGGTTTTAATGAAGACATCTGCATTTGATCAAACTTTACAAAACTCCCCTTCACTTTCCCCTCTCCCCCCTCCTATCCCCCCTCACTTTCCTTGTATCTTTATTTATATGAAATCACATAACTTCTTCATTCTGTGTCAACCATTTATATTAGTATGGCATTTTTTACTATAAGGAATGAAATTACAACTTCAAAAGCTGAATAAGTGAAGGGGTTGGTTCTAATGGTAATAGAAAGAGGAGAGAGAATGAGGATTAGGTAGGGTCTGCTGTAAGATAAGAACGGAGAACTTTATTAATTTTCTCGGAGTTTGAAGAGTGGGTTGAGGAGGGAAGGTTATAGTTAATATAGGAGGGTATATGTGCACGTGAATATGAGGGGAGGGGGTTAAAATAATGGGATTAGGAAAGGGATGTTGAGGAGGAGGAGGAGGGGGGGGGGGTCTTCAGGTGAGAAAGTTGGGATGGTGTGATATCTTGTCCTACTGTGTAAATAATCTATATTTTAACACTACAGAAGAAGTAAATATAAACAGACAGGATACATCACACAGGATACAGGAAGTTTCAATTTGTGCTAAACTAATGTCTATCTATCTATCTACGTATCTATCTATCCATCCATTCATCTATCTAGTTGTGAAAATATAGATACTTATCTATCTTTCTTTTCTCTTCCTTTCTATTTATCTTTCTAAGCATCTTTATATCTATGTATAGTGTATATATATATGTTTCTACCTTAATCTCCTTCTATCCCAGCAGGGCTATCCTGCCAAACAACAAATAGATATTTTATGTCAAAATTAGTCGCGGTTTAAATTTTTTACCAATTTTATCGTAAAAAGGTGTCTAGTTGTACACACGCATTCACACGCGTGCATGCAACCAAACCAACAAAAAGCTGAGTATGAAAAGCGAGTTTATATCTTTACA